CCCTAGTAGTAGTAGATTCCTGAAATCAAATCAAGTACAAATGTCCCGTACCACTTTTCCTCTCGACAAAAACAATCGAGCGAAAAAATTTTGAAAAAGCTACCAAGTTTTCTTCGAATATCAGAAGAAAAGTAAATGAAAAATATTTCAGATCAAAGTTATTCAAATTAATTGACAAAACAGATGTAATAAAAACTATTTCTATTTAAAAAATAAGTTAACTTTGCCTTACTTTGACGACGCCCAAGGTCAAGCTGATGGACAATTTTTAACCTTACGACTTTTATCTGAGACATTTTTTTTAACAATCAATATTTTTTTAGACAATTGATCACTCCGGAACTCTGACGCATACAGTACGCGCGTGCGCGAGAACAAACGCGTACAACGTACACGCCATTAAGCGTTTATATTTTATTTACATGCGTATATTGTACACGTATGTATAAAATAAGTATAACTCTCTGAAAGAGCAACTTTGGAGGTAACGGCACTAATTAGAAAGAACAAGATGACAAATAAAAGTTTCGTTCCTCAATAGCTGCGCCACTTTACATTCCATATATTGTTTTCGCGCACTCATAATATCGGAATGCGATTCCCATTCGACGCCCCTTATCCATTCAAATTCCGCCTGCGCGTCTCGTTCCCTTCCTTCCGCATCGTCCGTCGCGCGTATCCTCGGTTCGTCGGAGAGAAAAAGAAAAGCACGCGAGAATACGAGGTCGTAAGCGAGCGAATTTAATTTCTGGCGAGGATGCGTGGCGAGCGAATGGTGAGCGACCATGTCGGCGAGAGGAGCGGCAGTGCCTGCGCTCGTCGCGCGAAAAGACCAATCCTCGTGGCCGATTAACCCATACGACATACGACAGAACACGTACATATATACATGTATGTACACGTACACGCGTACGTACGCACAGGTGCAGGGTACAGAGGGTATAGAGGCCGCGAAGAGGCGCGGGTTTCCTCGCGATACGCGCCGATGTCGGCGAGATGCGAGGGACGAGAATTGTCTAGCGCAGAGCGCACCATTGACACGTAGATCGCGGCTCGGCGCTCGCACGTCGTAAATAACGAGAGAGCGCGTCCCCGCGCGAGTACGCCTCGCCTGCCGTTGCCGCTGGGCTGCACGTAGGAATGTGGCACTTCAAAATGGCTGCCAGTTAGTCTTAGTAATTTACGGCCGTCTCTGCTGCCCCGTTGTCGCGCGCGTGAATCGCGGGGTTCTCTCCCGCGGGCGCCGCGGAATCTGCCGGAATTGGAAGTCGGCCGCGACGCGGAGCGACAGCGTGCGGGGTGTGCGTGCGTGCGTGCGCGCGCGAGCGAGCGTGCGAGCGACCGACCGACCGTACGCACACAGGCGCGCACGTGCGAGGCCGTGGTGTGGGCGCGCGTACGTGCGAATGTGTGCGTATGTGTCGCATGCCTGTACCCCGCTCGAGTTCCGACCGCCGCCGTCCGTTCGCCCGTTCGGTGTGTCGCGCGCACCAGGAGACACTCGGTGTCGCTGACATTGGTCCTGTCGCTCCGTCTCGCCTAGTGTCGTCACATGGCTCGCCACGCGGCGCGAACGTGAGAAAGCGCGACGGGAATATGCTCGAACAAACGGCTGCTGTTGCCGTCATCGTCGCCTTCGCCGTCGTCCCCGTCATCGTCGTCCCCGTCGTCCCCGTCGCCGTCGCCGTCATCGTCGCCGTCGTCGCCGCCACCGTTGCTGCCCATATCGCCGCCACCGTTGTTGCAGCTATCGCTGCAATTGCTACCGCCACCGCTGCCAATGCTGATGCTAATAGTCGCGTGCTCGCCAACGTCGTCGTTTCGTCAAGAGAGTCCCGTCCCGTCGAGCCCCGCAGCGAGCGGCCGCCCGTCGTCGCCGCCGCCGCCGCATCATAAACATCTTGGTGCATTGACAAACGAGCGTGAGCGCGCGCGCGCGAGAGAGAGAACATGCGTGTGTGCCGCACTGTAGACTGTCGCCGTCATCCCACGGTATTAGCTCGAGCGGGACCATCCGTTCGTTGGTGAGCCGAGATAGGTTAGTTGCCTGTCTGTTCGGGTCGCTCGCTCGCGCGCGTGCCAGACACAAAGATGCCGAGGGCTGGTCGCGAACGATGCCCGCCGCCTCTCCGTTGCCGCGCAACACTTGGCCAGCATCCTCGCGCGGCGGAGGACACCCGAGAGAGATCGCTCTCCGCGACGTCGTGAAGACATTTCTCGCTCGAATGGGCCCGACGTGTCAACCCCGCGTCTCGCGTCAACGTTCCTACGTGCTCCACGCCAACGTATCTCGCCGTTTGTAACTCCGTACTCTTGTGATACCGTTGTGACCGCCGTTGTTTCATACAACCAAGAGATTCGAGCGAGAGTGACCTCGGACAATGAGTCTCTTGGAGTGTACTGTGTACGAATTGAACTAGCTGCGCCTCGCTTATCTGCCTTCAGCCACGATGCTGGCGAGTATCCGTAGTAGAGCCGACTAGCAGCGATCTTCGTTCCGTAAGCATCATCTTGCCAGATACACCGGACTTGCGCTGCAACAGCTTTGTTCCGCATCTCTAAACTAATTTTAACGTTACACTCGCACCTCTCGTAAGGTACAAACGACGTACATTACGCTAGTAAGCCCAACAACATGTACCTCTGTTCCCAATTATGTGTTTGTACCTGAGCGCGTCGATTCGGACAATACGTATGGGAAATTGTATCAGTTTCGGGAGTAGAGTTGAAAACACCCTCGCTACTGTGCAATGTGCGGTGCAAATTTCGAACAGCTTGAATTGTCAACTTTGTACTCTTCTCATTTAAAATCTATTGTATCTTTGGCATTTAACACTGGGAATTTTGTCTCAAAATGACCTCTGGAATCTGCTATTAATGGCACATCAAGTCTGGGACACTTTGTATATAAGAAAAGTACCTCATCATTTTACAATGTATTATATATAGGCCTGAGCGGAATGGCTGTCTTGTATTCTTAAGACATAAGACAGTTATTGCGCGTTACTTTAATACAAAGATTTAAAATATAAAACGTTGTCTTAGGAATACGAGACGGCCATTCTGCTCGGGCCCTTATTTACATCGGGTGTAAGAATTAAAAGGGGAAAAATGCCCTTCATCTCACGTTAATACGTTTGTACAAATTGAGTTTTCAGTAATTATCCGCGCACGCATTTGCAACTTCTTCCGTTATGTGAATCTTTCACATTCCTGCCGATATATGGATAGAAACAAAATTATAGCGCTATGAGAAACGAGAATACATACTTGCATACATATTTCTTTCCATTTGCCTTTGTAAATTTGCGGAGCAAATTGATTTTAGCCTCGGGATATCAAACTTTGCTGAACTTTGCCCACTGGAAGCTACTATACATAAGGTTGTATCGTTATAAAGAAACAATGCGAACATTGATTTATCTCGACTGATAAAATACCTATATTTTTCTTAAAGTGGTTATTTTATCGATCAAAAAGTGTTCATATTGTATCTCTTTGAATATCTTTGTGCATGATAGCCTTCAGAGAGGGTCGGTGCGAAATGACTTGAAGAGTAACAAGATGACCAATTTTATGTTGCAGACACATTCGTATGTGTCACAGCCAGATTAAAGCTAGGTCCCAGCGGGCCTAGCATGGGCCACTATGAATCCACCCGCTGCCGGCAAATCGAGCACTCGCGCCTCTGGGTACCACCAGAAGGCTTTAGCTGAGATTCGCAACTCATTACTGCCATTTGCGAATATCGGCGGGGCTGGTGAGGTGGGTTCCAGCGCAGCCAGCACTATCTCTACCGTGTCCACGACCAGTGGCATTAGCTCTGCCTCAGGTCTCAGCGGGCTCTCTGGCGCCTCTGGTTCCGCCGCTGACAAGTCGGATCAGCGACAAGCGTTGGGACAATTATTAACTATGGGATATTCAGAAGTAAGAACGACAACGTCATATTCGACTTTTGTTCTCGTGGATCAGTCAATTGCCTATTAATTTTACTTGCACTTGGTGTTTGCACTCAGAATTTTTGTCGTTTCTTCAACACTCGAGTACACGTCCGTCTCGTTACGGTCGTAGACAAGTGTTGGGAGTGCAAGTAAAAGAAATGGACGTATCGACGATAAAACTAAGGATTTAAACGTAAACGATTCACCATCGTAATTGCTCTTGTAGGAAATAGGATTGCGTGCCTTGAAATTCGCGGGATGGCGACTGGACGCAGCGATAGAATATTTGAAGCAGGCTCAAGCGGAATCTTTAAATGGGCTCGGCAAACTCAACACTAAACTCATCAGGAAACCGAGTCTCGAGAGGGAACTGAACCTGCAACGCGGTAGCCCCGCGTTGGATAGCGGGGCGGGCAGTTCACGATCCGACAGCCCGCGTCTCACGGAACTCGGCACGCATCCGCAACTGAGCCGTCAGTACTCGCCGAGTAACTTCGTAGATCGTGAACCGCCGCCGCCACCGCCACCGCGGTGTAGCTCGACGCCACCGCCACCGCCGCCACCTCACGCACCGTACAGTCAGTCCAATGTGCCTACCAACATGCAGCAGATGCTCAAGCGGATGTCACCTGCGCCGGTCGTGCCGACGAGATCGACGGCGACTGCACCCGGCACGGCCGGCGCCACATCAACGTCAGTAAACCCACCGCAACGCGGCACTAGTCCGGTGGCGAACGCCAACAGCTCCGGCAGCCGTCAGCCGATGATCGTGCAAAACGGTCCACAGGTACAGCAGCAACTGACACAGCAAATGCAAGCGCTCAGTATTTATCAAGCGAGCAACAGCAGCGCGAATAGTCAGGTCGAACCTCCGCCGCCGTATCCTATAGTCCCATCCTCGTCCTCCGGTCAGTCGGTGCAGCCGCCTTCTTATAGCGTTTCCATGCAAAATCGGCAGAGTCCCACGCAGTCGCAGCAGGATTATCGTAAAAGTCCGTCGTCGGGCATCTACTCGGGCCCGACATCCGCCGGTACACCCAGTCCCATCACCGTATCCACTATATCGCCTAGCAGCACGCAAACGTCGATGGCGCGACCGACGCCGTTGCAGGCTTGGGGTGCACGGCAGGCCAAGACGCAGCCGCCGATCATCATGCAATCGGTGAAGAGCACGCAGGTGCAAAAACCAGTGCTGCAGACTGCCATCGCTCCCACGGCACCGCAGTCAATCTCCACCAGCAGTAATACGCCACCTCCGCCACCGTCTTACGCGTCGTCCATTCAGCAGAAGCAGCAGCAGCAACAACCACCACCACCCGCTTATCCGCCCGTGAATAACGTGGCCGCCTCGCCCGCCGGTATACCAACAACGGAACCGCCAAGTTACGCCACGACGATGCAGGCATTAGCGGCGCAGCGTGGTATGCACCATCCGTTACCGCCGCCACCTTACAGCACCCCTGGTGAGGACGCCGCAATCATTTCCTCCTCGATGGAGAGCGGCGGCGGGGGCGGCGCGTCGCGAACCTCACCTGTCGCCCATCATCCACCGCTTCAAAGGAAGTATTCTCCGGCTGAAAACTGCCAACACACGATGGACGCGCCACCGTTGCCGCCGGTTGCCTCGACCTCTGTATCTACGCGAAACAACAACAATAATCATGCATCCTTGCCCGAGGGAAGCGCAGTCGGCGCCAAGAGTGGCAGCGGCACTAAAGGCGACGGCAGTGGTGGTCCGCCCTCGCCCTACAAAATTAAGCACCAATCTCCCATACCCGAGCGCAAGACCATGAGTATAGAGAAGGAAGAGGAGCGCAGGGACTGTAAGGTGAGAAATTACTCTCCCCAGGCTTTCAAATTCTTCATGGAGCAGCACGTGGAGAACATACTCAAGTCGCACAAGCAACGTCTCTATCGCCGTATGCAGCTGGAGACGGAGATGGCGAAGATCGGCCTGAGCGCGGAGGCGCAGTGCATGATGAGGAAGATGCTGTCGCAGAAAGAGTCCAACTATATTAGACTAAAACGGGCGAAAATGGATAAGTCGATGTTCACGAAGATCAAGCCGATCGGCGTTGGCGCGTTCGGCGAGGTCACGCTTGTGAGAAAGCTCGACACCAACCAATTTTACGCGATGAAGACTTTGCGCAAGGCCGACGTGCTGAATCGCAATCAGGTCGCTCACGTGAAGGCCGAGCGAGATATACTGGCGGAAGCCGACAACGAGTGGGTCGTCAAGCTCTATTACTCATTCCAGGATAAGGATAATTTATATTTTGTAATGGATTACATACCTGGCGGGGACTTGATGTCGCTATTGATTAAACTCGGCATCTTTAAGGAGCCACTGGCGAGATTCTATATCGCCGAACTCACGTGTGCAGTTGAAAGTGTTCATAAAATGGGATTCATTCATAGGGATATTAAGCCGGATAACATTCTAATCGATCGCGATGGTCATATCAAATTGACCGACTTCGGTCTCTGCACAGGATTCCGTTGGACTCACAATTCTAAATATTACCAACAAAACGGTAAGCAACTTTCCATCATTACAACATTCGATTTGTTATTTTGTAAACCTTGTATTTTCACATTTAAAGTAAAGGCGAAGCTTATTTAACATACATGTAATAAACTGGGGCTATTTCTTATTTCTTTTGCGATTCAAGGCCATGGTAAACAAGACTCAATGGATCCAGCTGACGATTGGAATAACGAGTGTCAATGCATACAGTTAAAGCCATTAGAACGTAGAAGACACCGGGAACATCAGAGATGTTTGGCGCATTCTCTAGTTGGGACACCGAACTATATTGCGCCGGAAGTCCTACAGCGTACAGGATACACACAGTTGTGTGATTGGTGGAGTGTAGGAGTAATTTTGTATGAAATGTTAGTTGGTTCTCCACCATTTCTTGCCAATACTCCTGCTGAAACTCAATATAAGGTATATATTGTATAATTTTTATATAACATCTAGTATTATTAATAATAAAAATATCAGATGAATATAACATAATTAATAGAAGCCCTATGTGGTCAGGCTGTTAGTGTCAAATAATATAATTTTGCGTATACATCTTTTCAACATAGCAAACTGCATGCCGATAACACTCGGTCTTGAAACAGTCTTAAGCTGAAGTCGAAATAATGTATGTAATTAAAGTAATAATTAATTCAATAATATGCCTAAATAAGCAGGCTTTAGAAACACACTGTAAAGAAATACTATAAAAAATATTACCTCGGCCAGGACTCGAAATTTGGACCTCCCTGCTATATACTGGACGGGTGTTTTATATAAATTATTTATATATAAAACGGTCAACTTATTATTATTAGATAATTATTCATTTTATGATATCGTTTTAAGTCTTAAAAAAAGTCGGTAAAGAGCGTGACCAAAAACACCCGTTTTCTTCTTGTCCTATTGGCGGGCATTTCTATGTAATTTGTATGAAAGTACATTTTATGTCCTCCCACACATCGATCATCTATTCCACACCGTTGGCTTTGCTTACCGATTTCGACAACTTGACCCTTGTATGCTCAACTTGAAATTTTTCCCAGATTAATGTATCATCATTAACACTTATTTAGACAACAATTCAATTCGATCTATCAAAGGAGCAAAATTTGGTCATGCTCTTTAAGCTACAAAACATCTTAAGGCAAATTAAAGAAATATCTTTTACATATTATACATGTTTCTCTTTTATTTCTGTAGGTTATTAATTGGGAAACAACGCTTCACATACCGAAGCAGGCAAATCTTTCACCGGAAAGTATGGACTTAATCTTGAAACTCTGCGTCGGTGCTGATCGTCGTTTAGGTAAAAATGCGAATGAAGTTAAAAATCATCCGTTCTTTGCGAGTATCGACTTCGAGAAAGGATTGCGGCGCCAAATGGCCCCGCACATACCTCGTATAGAGTATCCGACCGATACGAGCAATTTTGATCCCGTGGATCCAGATAAACTACGCAATTCTGAATCGTCAGATTCGAATAAATCGGACGAATTGTTGGATAACGGAAAGCCCTTTCACGGCTTTTTCGAGTTTACGTTCAGGCGCTTCTTCGATGATGGCGGTGGTCCCGCATATCCTAATCGAATTAGCTTGGATGACAATGACAATCAAGGTCCCGTCTATGTATGACATTAGGCCAAATTTACAATTCGCCGTCTGCTATTTCCCAGTTTTGATTGTCTATCGTCAGCATGTTCGTTTTTCATTTCAAGATGTCTAGAGCTATTTATAGTTTGTTGTTATTTCACGATTGTCTTAAGTATTGTAATGTTTTAAGATACTGGCACTGTGATTGATTCACAACACATTAAGACTATACTTAAGATGGTCTTAAATATAAGAATGAACTATGAATACCAACCAAGATTTTATTAGCTTTTCAGATGTGATCATATTCTCTATCTAATATCTTATCTGTTTCCTGACTTACAAATCTATAAATCTATATTTATAATGAAACGTTCTTTTCTTCAATGGATTTCATTAATAATCACAATTTACTAATTAAGAATCTGAAGAGATTTTAGGGTATTTTTACAATTTTTTACTTCTTCATAGACAGCTTATTAAAATGAAGTTCATTAAGCATGCTTACAAGAATCGCAACATTCTTTTTCTTCTTTTTATTTTATCAGGCTCTTATGCAAAGTAAAAGAATGAAAACGATTGTAACCAGTAATCTTCAATTCATTTGTTGTTGAAACTGGTTTCTTATTTAACTGGAATAAAATTTGAAGAAAGTTGTATCGGTAAATCACTTATTTGCTAAATGTGTTAAAATTTTAATTATAAATTAATCAAAATGTTATCTAAATGTTTATGTAAAATTTTTTTTAATTTAAAAGTTATATGAATTAATATTACTATTATGTATACATATTTGTATACACCGAACTGAAATTAAATTTTTATTTCTAGTTTTCATATCATATCCAAGATTTTTATCAGAAGCACCTAAATTTCGTAAGAACGATCTACGAATGTTATGGACAAATTTCAAATTTATTGACATTTAGTTTTAAAGATATAACTATGGCCAGTATTTATAATTTGTTCTTATTTTATGAACTTTTAAGTAATATCTTAAAACACCAATACGCGGCTCTGAGATTGTTCCATAATATTTTAAGATTGTACTCAAGATGGTTTTAAAAATAAAAACAAACTATAAATACTGATCTATAAAAAGAAATGTATGTGATATATAAAGTTTAATATTCGAATTAAGATTTTTTTACTTATAAAGATCTGACAAACATATATTTTTGTGTAGAGACAATAAGTCACGTGTGTGGATGACAATCGTTGTCGTCGATGACAATATATACTAGTTTCAATTTATCAGAATATATCAGATGTCTCATAGGAATCTAATTGGTTATATTGCCAAAACGATTGTGAGAAGTAAGATGTAAGATAAAACTGAATGGTTTTAGTTGCTCTAATTGTTCACTATTATTCTTTCACATGAACTTAACACACTGCAAAGTATGTCTTTTTCTTAAATAAAACTCCACGGACTTTTTAATATTACACAAAATATTCGACTGTATACTTTCAGAGAATGTGGCAACAATAATTGCATTAGGTGGATGGTGAAACAATATATTATAGAAACTATTGATAGACAAATGTTAATATAGGGAAACAGCAGATGACAATAATCAAAATTTTTATATATGGACTTGGTCAGTCTTGTCCATATAAAAATATCGGTCTTTATCATTGTTTTACCTGAGAAATATATATAAAAACGAAATCATTTTTAAATGCACATTTATGGATATATCTACATTAAAATTGCAAAAAGTTACATAATCTCGTTTTGTCGTAATACACACGAAAAAGTACTATACTTTTGACCAATTTTTATATTTGATCTTATTTTGAATTAACTTGCCTTTGACATTTTATTTACAACATTATCATCCCTTTCTAAAAAAAGAGACGTTATCAACGTTAATGTCATTTATATCGAACAATTGAGGCCTCTTTTCTGCGATTCCGATTAGTTTTCTCAAAGTGTGGCGTAACTTACAATTAGATGATAATTTTTTATATTTTAATTTTTTCATTACATTTTTTTTTAGTTTTAACGAAGATATTAGAACCAGGAGAGACATACGATTTTATCTCCGCTCTCTTAGCCCACAAATAATATAATTGTTAATCAAAATTTAAAAAATACTAAAAAATGGTACAATTAATAAAAAATTTTCTATAAATTTTTTATCATTTTGTGAAAAAATAAAAATGTTAAGTAAAGCAGTTTTTTAAGGCATAGCGAGCATAATTTAAATTACACAAATTTGTAATGACTAGTCACTTGCAATTGCTTACATATTATAATACTTTATATTTAAAATTTTTTTAATGAGATAAAATAACAATACATTGTTAAAAATATATATAACTTAAAAATATATGAAATTGTGACCGAATAATGGTATCTAAGTTAGGAGGAGGGTTAGGGACGAGGATACTTAAAAATGTATCGATAGTTCTGTGTACTGATGACAACTCGAATTGGCCCGCAGCTTAAAATCGAAAAATATACGCGAAACTATCATCATTGAACTGTTTATTGCGACAAATATTACCATATGCCTCATTCGTCGAACTGGTGAGACACGCTCGCCTAGAATGTAGGAAGCTCCAGGTTCAAACCCTGGCTGAAGTAATATTTTTCGCAATAAATTTTTTTAATTAGAATTTGCTAGTTGTGTAGATTATGAATGTTCTATATTGGTTAATTTACTGGAGAAAATAAGTCTTATTCTTGTTAAGAATATATACTTGGTAAGAAAATTAATTCTATTAATTTTAAAGCCATCTCTTTTTAACTTAAATAAATTATAATGACTAATTAATCTTATGAGAATTATGTATAAATATATATCAGTTTACCACAGAAAAATAAAAAAGAAAATAAAGCAAAAATGAATTGTTCCAAATTATAGAAAAAAATCGATATTGAAAGATAAAGAAAAAAATAATACTTTACTAATTGCTTCTAATCAATCAAAGCTACAATATGTAGTAATAATCAAAGGTACAACCGTAGTGAAAATTTCATATATTTACCATATATTGTGATATATGGTTTTTAAATTAGATTTATTAATTTCCTATGCCCTATGTACATTTTCTAGTATACATGCTTGATTATTTAATTAAATAAAATTTGAAATGTATCTAATAGGTAATATTTTATGAGATAAAGAAATTTTAGAAAATTTTTTTAAAAGAATATTTTAAACATTTTTAACTAAAATGTATTTTAATTAATTTTCAAAATTACTCAATTTTAAATATTCCAAAAAGACAACTATAAATTAAAATTTGTTAATTTTATATGTGGTAAATTGCTTTAAAATGGAATCAAATAAAAATATCACTCGGTCAAAAGTATACCAACTTTCCTAATATTCTTTTTATAAGTGCACATAGATTACATATGAATATATAATAGTATTGTATTTTTACTGGGAAACCTTTATATCGAAAAATTTGTAAACAGTCACATGCGCAAGTGTAAAGCCAAATTAAGTAAAATGGACGTTTATAACAACATCTTACTCACGAAAGTATAACTTGATAATTTTTTTGCAATTTTAATAATAATATACAATATGATGTGGATGTACAATTTGTAATATATTAATATTTTCATATCAGGCGACACGGAATGTATTTTCATACACATAATTGTTTTACATTCTACATAAACGGAGTATATAGCTACGTAAAGAGAAGAGTGAATTTATATTGTGTTTCTTTTCGATAATTATCATCGTTATCTAATTTGCAATACCACATTGACATGAATGAGAAATAGAAAGCAATGAAATGATTGATGAATAGGCATTATAGAATACATTTATGGAAAAAAATACAAATATTTTACTTGCCATTTTCATTCGTCTGTATTAGTTATCTCAGACAAAAGTACCCAGTTTAATACATTTTCGCAAATACTGTGATATTGACACTAATTAGGAATGTATACGGCTTTTAAACGTATCGATTTTATTTAACATTGTCATTTATTTCAAATTTTACAAAGAATTATAAATAATTATTAAAAAATATATGTATATTACTTTATGTGTAGATTTTCGAATGAATGTAATGTGTTCATCGCAGATTTGAATGATTACCTTTTAACCGTTTTAAACGTTTTCTAATGTTGTTTAACTTCTAAGATACCATGAATTTGTGTAGCACATCGTATACATTAAACACATTGTATACATTTTGAAGATATTTAATAGCTCTTTATACGCTTGTCAACGTATCGTGGAAACCATATTAGCGGTAACAGTTGCATTGAGTCTAAAATTTTGTCGCACAATAAGATTGCCGAGGCAAAATCAATCCAGCCGACATGAAAACAGTAACGACATTTGACAATGATTACGTTTTCGTAATCCAGTACATCGTAGCTAAGTTGCCATTGTAACTAATTATATTTTTTAGTGACATTAGTCACAATTACTTGTAACGAATGTCCTTATTATAAGAGCCTTAATAATAGCAAAAGAGGAACTGATGTGTATATATATCGCTGTACGAACGAGTTTAACCATTATATATATCGAAAGTGAGTTTATGATTAACGCATGTTGTCCATGTTTGTCTATATTTCGTATTACGAAATTGTGACAAATTTATCTTAGGTAACAACATCGATGTAACATGTAGTGATAATCGAATGCCTTTCCTCAAATGCATAATTTAAAATGTATCTCGGCCTTTGCCGCCGTGTTTCAAATCGTCTTCCAATGTCGAGATTTAAATTCAAGTACCTCAAAATTCTCACCGTGAGTGCCTTACTAATTTGGTGTTCTTGATACGAAGTCGTACTAAAGTACAATTGGCAGTATAGTTCATGTATGTAAAGAACTACCAGTGTCTAATTGAATTGTAAAGTATGTACTATTTAATAATTATGGTATTCGAGAATGGAGGAAGAGAGAGAGAGAGAGAGAATGAGAGAATGATTGAATAAGTGAGAGAAAAAGAGAGCAATGTATTATACCACTTAAATTAATTATTTCTATGTATTATATATTTCAAAGTATATGCTCTATATTTATGTTTATCATTTAGCTTTAATAATGTCAACAAAGATAGAATCTTTAATAGTTGTATTTTTCGACGTAAGAAAAACGAGAACATATTGAAACTTAAGTGGCTGTTCTATACGCACGCTATACTTTCGTATCTATTCCTATAATATCATTAGTAGCGTCAGTGATAATCGCGCGCAACTCCATTCTTGTATTGTGGCTAATTACTTTACGGCGACTAGTCTTGTGCTACAATTAAAAGTAATACATATACACGTACGCTATATACACGTTTGTATGTATATGTATGCATTACACGTGCATATACATAATCGCGTATACATAATACACACATGTATACTAGACATGTATCTAATTGTAACAAATGACTCGAAACAAACGGTAGAATTATGATGAAAAAAAGGACAAGCTATTTAATACTTATTTTGTGCTGCATGAAGAATAAGAAGTGGCTCTTTATCCTTTTTTTTATTTGCAATTAAAATACATTATGTCTGATATTCTGATGATTTTATCACTAAAATTGCTATAAAGTATGTGAATCTAATGTGTGTAAAGATAATTGTAACATAAGTACTGACACAAAAACCTAGTAATCTCTTCTTTGTGTTTATTGTAAAAAATAAATATAAAAATTTGTAAGATATTAGAGATAACCTATATACATATATATAAATTTGTTATTATATAAAATATTTCAAACATAACCATACAGATACCTGACTTGACCAGAGTGTGGTATTAATAAATTATGAACTTTTTAGCACATCATTCTTTCACGTAATTTATTTTGCACACACATCTAGTTGGTTGAAAAGAAAAATAAGCGAAAACAAATTCTCGTCGAAATCAGAACGTTTATGTAGGGTGTAATAATTTGCGAATCACCCTTTTATAGGTAAATGGGTTAAACTGAATTTCGAGTCCTGTATCATTTTGCAATTTCTTTCATCAAATCTGGATTTGTGACTTTTTATATCATCTCAGTAATATTGTAAAAATTACAAAATGGTTTTTACATTCTGTCCAACCTGCTGTCCACGTGAAGTGATTCGCGAATTATAAGATACCCTGTATATACGAGGTAAAGAAATGGATCGGTATCGTTAGCAGAATTGAAATGAAGAATGGATATCCAAATGCTATAAAACAGTAATAGTTAAATAGCGACCCACAGACCAACTCTGACCTATTAGTTCATTTGGTAAATACCCAAGGAGAAATGAAGAGTCAAGATGACGTCGATTTGATGTCGTATTGACCGAAATATGACATAAATATGCTCCTTGGGTATGCATATAAAGTGGGCAACCTCTGTTTTGTAAGAGACGAATATGTATGTACCTTTACATAGCTCGCCCGAAATAACTTTGCGTGGAAAATTGCAAACCTATGTGGGCTCGTACAATGGTGAAAGTTTCGCTCAGAAGCAGGGTTCGACCTCGCTGATTTCAATGACCTTGACATGTATTGTCAAGGACGTGACATGCAACAAGTTTTAGCCGCTGCTTGTTAGTTAAAAAGTTATTTATGAAAAAAGTTTGAAGAACATACCACTTGAAATTAGTGTTTAAGGATGTTATATATTAATATTTATGTAGAGACGCATATAAACAGGGAAGAGAGCAGAAAAACTAGTTAGTGGATTCCGTATCTTCCTACGGAGGGTCTCCGCTTCACTAAAATATAACTTTTCCATCTCGTGTCTGAAGTGTGGGTTATATCTCGCTTTTCTCTTGATAAATAAATTGAATTTGTAAAGAATGGATTTGTAACTTCTTATGCGAAGCGAGTGTAACCTCGGACATGGGATGGGATAGATTATATTTTTGTGGCATAGGGAGGGACGAAACCCACTGTGTCTACGTGTGTTCTTTGCAAAATGAAGCGAAGCTGTTAAGAATAAAAAAAGCTCAATGATTCTGCATGGATTTCTCCGCTTTAATTAATTCTCTGTTTCAAGGCTCCCGGGCTTGCCACGGCCATGTTAGAAATCGTGACGTCAAAAGCGAGAAATAACACGCTGAAAATTCTAGCGTTTTATAACCATTATATAACTAGTAGGTCCACTCCGTCATTTGTTCATAGAAAGCCTATCACACAATAGGAAAGCACAGGCAATAGGAACAGGGAATAGAATTTCTGACGCGTTGGATTGGTTGGAAATTTTCTTCCAACCAATCCAACGCGTCAGAAATTCTATTCCCTGTTCCTATTGCCTGTGCTTTCCTATTGTGTGATAGGCTGAACTTTGTCTACAAGTTCTATGCATTTGTTTCGTTTTGCGTCGATCTCTTCTGCGTATCCGACATGCTCTGGGCAGACCAATGAGATAAAAGTTATATATGGGTAGTGTGGCTTTGATGAGTATGTACGATCCTACAGTTCCGCGCATAGAGATGAAACTTAAATAATTGTGATCAAATAAATCGGTATATTATTTTTGTGACCACGGTAAGTAGAAAAGTTTTTTAGTCTTAATGCCTGTTAAATGGGACTTCACTGGGCACCTTATTTATGCCCAACAGCATACAAATATGTAGCTTAACCTTTATCGGTGTGTTGAATTCTCATTATAATTCGTTTCTCTGTTCAATTTCTATTTTAGATGACGAAGTACTGTGTAGGTATATAATGGCTGCGAAGTAAAAGAAAAGCATCAAATTCCCGAAAGATTATAGCTGTAGTAGATCAGCGCGACAATGCGCGACGCGCGATGATCTAATGGGCGTACAGTCTTTATGGGAAAACTGTACGCTTTTCCATAAAACCTACGCACTCCAATGAGTTTTCCCATAAAGACTGTACGCCCATTGTATCATCGCGCGTCGCGTTGTCGCGTTGGTCTGCTAGAGCCATTATGAAGGATTTAAGCCTATCACACAATGCGAGGCAACAGGCAACAGGAACAGGGAATAGAATTTCTGACGCGTTGGATTGGTTAGTAGAAAATTTCTGACGAATCCAACGCGTCAAAAATTCTATTCTCTATGGCCCGGTTTCACCAACGCGAGTTAATCTAATCGGTCGGTTAACTTGACAGGGTGCCAACATAAAACTTCTTTATTAACCAAGAAAATAGGTTAATAAAGAAGTTTTATGTTGGCACCCTGTCAAGTTAACCGACCGATTAGATTAACGGGCGGTGGTGACACCGTGCCTATTACTATTTACTGTTGCCTGTCATTGTTTGATAGGCTTTACACTGTATCCAATATCCGATATGATTGGTTTATACTTGTAGATCCCACGAGGAACCAAAAGTAAGAATCAATCGTAATGAATATCGGACCCA